TATCTCTGTTTTGGTACCAGTACCATGCTGTTTTGATTACTGTAGCCTTGCAGTATAGTTTGAAGTCCGGTAGTGTGATGCCTCCCGCTTTGTTCTTTTTGCTTAGAATTGACTTGGCTATGCGGGCTCTCTTTTGGTTCCATATGAAGTTTAAGGTGATTTTTTCCAGTTCTGTGAAGACGGTCATTGGTAGCTTGATGGGGATAGCATTGAATCTGTAAATTACTTTGGGCAGTGTGGCCATTTTCACGATATTGATTCTTCCTGACCATGAACATGGAATGTTTCTCCATCTGTTTGTGTCCTCTCTTATTTCATTGAGCAGTGGCTTGTAGTTCTCCTTGAAAAGGAAACTTTTATTGGATTACCCCTCCTGTCTTTTAAAGATCACGGGGGAGAAAGAAGCCTTTGCTGTTAGGGATGCAGTTCTCAAAATCTCACTAGAGGGTGGTGTTGGTTTTAAAACCAGAGGTCACTGCTACTCTTTATAGTACATTCTTTACTAGGCTGTATTTATGTTTAAAGAAAAGGTAAAGTCAAGACTTCTCAGTCTTCCCTAGTAGTTGGTAAATGTCAAATCTGAAACCTCCCAAGTGTTCCTTTCAGTTCTGGCTGGTTGTAGCCCAGAGGAGACAGATAAAGTAGTGAAGCTTGATTACCAGAGGAGTTGGGTGGCAGATTCTAATTTTGGCTCCTGCACTAACTGGTAGACAAGGCTCCCTGGGCCTTTGTCACATCTGTAAAACAAAAAGGATGTCGTAGTTGATACCTAAATCCCCATACATCTCTAATATTATGAGATTCAAACAAAATTCTTGGTCTAAAATGCTGAATAATTTCTCATGCTCTTGGCCAGACTAAGGAACGAGTAAAATCTCAAATTATTAAATTATTAATAATTAAGATACAATGTAATATTATAAGTGAAGTTTAATATAGATTCTAATATCAAAGAAATTTAAAATTAAAATGCCACATCTTTTGTCTTACCAGGGAACCTTAGAGCCACGGATTGCATCTGAGCATTCTATGGATAATTTCAGTTACTTAATGCATCATCCAAAAATCTCTCCCCTCTTGGTCGCCAGCTTACTGGAAATGAGCAAAACATGTTTTAATATAGGATTATATAGAGAAGGGAGGCTGAACCATTGTCAAATAGGAATGTTTTAGGATGGGACAAAACTCCCCACTTGCATTTATCTGACTCGGATTGCATCTGTGCTTTGTTAAGAGTCAGTCTTCGAGGGTTTTAGTTGGTTTAGTTTCCTTTCGCTCTCATCTCTTTAATCTGACTCCCCTTTCTTGTTATATTTACTCACATTGCAGAATGAACTTAGAATCCTTTCCTGGAACCTGAAGAAAATTATGGAACTTCAAGATCCCAGTAACCCTAGTCTATTTCTGCATGGACTTGATTTCTAAGAATTGGCCCAAGACCCTGCAATTAACCTTTGACCATGCGAAGCTTCACTCCGTCACCCCAGACGCTTTGGCATTCGTACTCAATGCCCTCTTTCCTCCAAATTGCTTTGTTTGGCAGAAGAAGGTTTCTTTCCCCTAACTCTCTGCCCTCAACCTGGATTTGTTGGGTCTCAGGCTTGTTTTGCAAATATACACGGAGCGCCTCCGGGTTCGCACACGCGCGCTCGCGTACACCCTGGCTTGAGTACACGAGCCTTGCTGGGCCGGCTCCCAGTTGCAGAACACATTCCATTCTTCGCGCTCGGGCACACCCCTCCGCAGTGAGGATTGGTCGGGCCGAGCCCCCTCGGCAAGGCGAGGCTCCTAAGAGGCCCAGACGCCTGCCAATCCCCACGGGCTGTCAAAACAAGTCTCCCTCCCTGTCACAACAGAGCTGAGTGGAGGCCGCCGCCGCTGCCGCCGCCGCCGCCGCCGCCGCCGCCGCCGCAGCCGCACTTCCTGGGACCGCTGCGCTGCAGTCCGCTGGCAGGTGGCGGGTGCGCCCAGCCGCAGTCGCCCGGCTCTGGCCCCTTTCGGGTCGCGCGCGTCCGGGCTCCGGAGGCCGCCTGGCTGGGCGCCCCGTGCCTTTTGTCTGGCGCAGAGCCGACGTTTGCATCACATTTCGTATACCTCCCTCTCTTTTTCGCCTCTCCTTCTGCCTCCTGCTCACATCGCCTCCCCACTCCCGCCACCGTCTCCCGCCGGACTGCTAGCCACCTGGACCAAAGCCAGAGGACATCTCTGCCCCAGCGATGTCTCCTCTCCAGAAAGTTGCCGCCGCCACGGCCACCGCCGCTGGGCGGTGAAACAAAGTCTGGCGGGGCCGCCTCCCGGTGCAGGAGCGCACCGGTGCCTAGCGGCTGAACTCCGGGGCTGGGCGTCCCGCCTCCCCCCGGGGAGCCCGAAACGCGCCGGGCCATGGCCCAGGGCGCGGCCGGCAGGGAGGGTCCGGCGCCGCCCGACGCGGCGGGGGGCGAAGACGACCCCAGAGTGGGCCCGGATGCCACCGGGGACTGCGTGGCGGCGGCCTCTGGGGGCCGGATGAGGGACCGTCGCAGCGGGATCGTACTGCCGGGCGCCGCGGGGACCCCAGCCGACAGCGAAGCGGGTCTCCTGGAGGCTGCACGAGCGACTCCCCGGCGCAGCAGCATCATCAAGGTAAGCGAAGCCGCCGTTCGGGGAGCGTGGCTCTGGGTGATGGGTGGGCCGGGGACCCGGGCAGGATGTGCGGTGTCCGGAGGCAGCTAGGCATTGTTTTCTCCTACCTCCTTCAACGCCAAACCTTCCTTCCTCATCCGGAGGTTCCCAGACTCAGCTCTCAGCAGTGAGACGCACAAGTGACTTTTTTCTCCCTGACAGCAGAGGAAAAGTTCCGCTCTGCGTCTTTGCGTTCTGACGGATGCTTTCTCTCATTTTCTCTGCAAGCTTCGCGAAACCCTTGTTTGAGGGAGGAAGGGCGAACTCACGATAAATGCAGACCCACCGGATGGTTGTGCATTGCTTTCCAGCGAAGGGTTAGCTTTTCCCGTACAATGAAGAAAAAGCACAGCTTACTCTTAAGTGAAAACAAAAAAAAAATCCCCTCTAGACTTAAATGATCCCGAAATCCCAAGATGTGTGAACTTTCCCAGTAGGCAGGCAGAGTTTTGAGTGGACCCTGCACCACAATAAAGAGCAATGGAAGAACCCAGAGTTTTTGAGCTGCAGAAAGCACAACCGGAAAGCAATCAATCCCCCAAGAATTATCCCTGGTCCTTGTGGTTACCACCACATCCAGGGAAAACGCTTCCTGACCCGCTAATCACCTCTCAAAATTTCTCTCCATCCATTTGGAAAGGAATTTGTAAACTTCTATCCTTCCCTTTCTCTTTCCGTCTTCCTTCCACTTGGGGCTATTTTCTTCTGTTTGAGATTTCTTCTTTCAGGAGCATGACTTTGGGATAAGGTTATTTGGGTAAGAATCCCGAACAGGCTCTGGAAACGGGCTTCAGTGTGAATATATGTGAATAATCAATCATATGCATGTCAGATTAAAATTGATTTTGGTGGAGCAGTCAGTATAAAACTATATATGTATACATATAAGTATATATATGTGTGTGTGCATACATACACACCCCTCAATGACAATGAAAGATGGACTTTTATTTACTATTGAATTTATTGGGTGCACTAACATTCAAAAACTCTGTTCAGGGTTAGGCTGCATGACTAGTACATCATACATGTTCCAAGCTCCCAGTACCAGTCTACCTAAGACTGACCACAGAATGTGGCTCCAGTATAGTCTTTTTCCCAACACTGACACATGGAAGTTTAAAATCAGTGAAGAGGTTTCTATATTAAAAGAAGAGTGGGTGGTAATTACAAATGACTTGTAGTAGTTTCTATTATCTTGTGGCTTTTTGATTGTGTGAAAAGGAGTGTTCTATTTTGGGTGTAAATTTGGAAAAAGGGAAATTACCATTTTGCTTTTAACCCACAGGTCAGAAAGAATACTGTTTTGAAATTTAAAAAAATCACAATTAGGAAACACATACATTTCAGATTCTACGATATTGATGCTACATGTTGTCCTGTGTGTGTAAAACAGGCATTGCAAGATACTTTAAAATATATGACAGTAAAGAGCAAAAGGCTCTATAATGTTGTAAAAATCAAAAGGAAAGGAGTATAAGGAATATGCAAATTCTTGCAACTGAGTTTGCCACTTTTGAATTGTACTATGCTGGTTTGTATTCTCAGAAGGGTCATTGCTGAGTAATGGTGCCTCTTCTGTTTTGAAGTTTCTTTTTGTGACAAAAAAAGGAGGGAGACAGCAGAGTATTAACTTGATTTCCACCCCCCCCTTTTTTTTTTATAGCAAATGCAATGAACATTTGGTAAATGGCTTTTAAAATTAAAGATATTCGAAGATAAAGTGAGTTATTCTGTTAGGTTTTTATTGAAAAAGTAACACATACCTATAATTTAAAAAATCAAATATTGCAAAGGAGTGTGAAGGGAAGACCCTCAGACACTCCACATTCCCACTTACCTAGTCCACCAGCTTAGATGTTAACACTTTCTTATGTATGTTTCCAAATATTCCATGCATATGTAAGAATGTATAGCTATACACATCTATGATTTACTATAGCAGCTCCTGATTTATACAAAAAAATTTGGCTAGAGCTTTACAGACCTCATAGCTTTAAACATTTTTGAAGCCTAGAGGGTAGTCTAAGGTCATTGTGTTGAACAAACTAATCTTCAAGGATAATCTGGTAGGTCTTTGGTGCGCAGTGTTCATTGGGATCTGTTCCCAGAGGCCTTAACTCCCTTCTGGGGGTAAAAAGGCAGGTGGTAGGCCCTGTTCCACTCCTTCTCTGAGATCAAGAACCATTGTATTGACACTTTTGAATCAGCTGCCCTGTGGTTTATTCCCTTTAGCATAGTGAAAATGAATTTCTAAAAAATGTCTAGATCATATAAGAAATACATAGCACATGTTCTATATTGAGAGAAAATGCATTTTCCACAGTTTTGCCAAGAGTTTTTTTTTTTTTTTAATCTGGCATTGAAATATACACAAAAAAGAAAGGTTTTAGTACATTTTATATTAATCAAAATATTAAATGCTGTTCCAAATAGCTATAGTGCAGTAATAATTGATATTCATGATCATAACGCTGAGCCACTGAAAGATTGGGAATCATCAAATATTAAATTCTTTTCAGCTCAATTTAGGGTATTATTTCAGACTAGTGCTATCCTGGCAGAAAACAGACTGTCTTGTATATTAATAAAAAGAATATTTTCAGTAAATTTGCCCTCCCTAATTTGTGAAAACATGTTTAGTTGAGAAAACAATTTCCTTCTGAGCTGATGAAAACAATGACAACATTTATCTGTATGCATCTTCAGAAATTCTTTCTACTGTCATTGTATTTCTTCCCCTCATATAACCAATCCTAGGTTTAAAAACATTTAGTGTGAGAATTAAACTAAGTTTTCTTTAATCTGTCTACTTTTTCTTATGTTTATGGTGTGATTGTTTCAACAGCATGGACATTGATAAATGCTGCATGTTTTTTTGGTAAGTGCATTGCTATATACCACAATAATGCAATAGAATTCATTTTAATTTATTCTTGATGACTTGTAGTTTGAAATGACAAGTTAGGTACCGCAGTACTGATAATGTCTAGCAGTTGTTTACTATTCTGCATTTGAATATATTTCTAATTAAGAAATAAGACCACTTATCTATCTGGTACTTGATATCAAACTTATGTATTTAAAATATTTAACATTTTAGAGTATAGCTTATAGCTCTATAGCTCTGTAATGTTCTGGAAATAGGAAGTAGCATAGCTTATTTACTATATTAGATGGTGGGAACTGAACTATATATATATTTTAAAATAGCAGTTGATTTTTCTTCCGTTGCATATAACACATTGACGAGTTCTACTATTTTCTACTTCCTTTTATTCTGCTTAAGAACAAATTTTCTAGGCAAGGAAGAATAGAAATTGTCACTTCGATCTCACGAACGTGGGTATGGAGGATGAAGATGCGAGTTGGGAATGAGTGCTGCAACCTGCACTGGAGCAGCTACTTGGGTGTTATTCATGTCTCATTATTTTATGTCATGGCCAGTCCCATTCCATCATATTCATTGTGGGCTGGTATGGTGGATTTCTGAGCTGCAGCCTCAAATATGCCTCTTGGGTACCAGATGACCCCTATCAAGATTATGGCTTTCCTCGAGGGGCAAGAGGAATGCAGTTCACATTAAGTGACTACTACTATGAGTCAGATACTAAACTAGGAGCTTTTGTAAATTTCTATCACTTAACTTCACAGGAAACTCTCTAAAGCAGGGAAGGGAGGCACAGAGAGCTACTGTCAAAATGTGGAGTGATGACTGAAAGCCATGTCTGCTTAATTTCAGAATTTGTGCTCTTGGGCTGGTTCTCAGATGCAAGAAGTCCACAATCCATGAATACTTTCTAGGTTAGAAACAGCCTGAACACATAAGACAATGACAGAAGAGTATGCATTTTAGGTCCCATGGTTTGTGGGGCAAATTATCTTTTCTCAGCCCTGTTTCACCCAGTTCAGAAGGTTTGCAGCTTGATGATTCTAGAAAGGGATTACAACCTTTTCTGTCTTTGGCTATTTTGTTAGGCGTGTCCTATACTTGAAAAGGCAGAGCAATCTGGCAGGTGTTCTGCTTGGTGTCAATACATGGAGCTGAAACCTGTTGTTTTACCCCAGGCCCGCTTCGCCCATGCCCTGCAGACAGTGGAGTCTGTGAAGCGTTTTATTCTCTTTTAGGCTGATACACAGGTAGAAAAAATACCTGAGTCATAGGAATATATATTATTCTAAGGGAGTAAGAAAATGAGGAATCTTCATTTGGAGATCTGAAAGTGTGTGTTTTTAAAAATAGAGACTGTTACAAAGGGAAATTAAATATGATTAAAAATCAGTTAAAAATTTTAGGCACCCTACGTATTACATAGGCGTTTATAGATTGACCTGGGAATTAATCAGCATTTATAGATTTTATTCTCTACAAATATGTGTTAAAAGTTCCAAATAACCAACTTGTGGATGGATTTTGGAAAAATAGCCAGGTTGTACAGAAGAGCTGACCAGCCTTTACTTTACTGTAAGGGGTGCTGAGAGTGTGTGTCCTGGTGGCTTCAGTTGCGGTTCTCCTCCTGAGATGTGATTCAGCTGCATGAATGGCATGAACCTCTTAGGTAGATCTGGTTTATGATCCCGGCAACTTCAGTTAGAATATGTACGTTCTCTCATCATTGCTGTAGTAACCTGGCCACATTTCACCTTAGAAGTGGTTGCTTCTAATTGTAGTGCCTTTCTGATGTGATTTCTTATAGCACCTCTCAAGAAAATTAGGAATAAACTTTAGGTAAAGAGCATTGTCATACTTTGATGAAAGGTTTTAGAAGTGTCTGTTGATTAGTGTTTGCTACTACTGTTAGAATTTACAAAATTTGTTTTCCCTTTTGGAAAGTATATTAAGGCAAAAAAGTGGAAGTTAATGACATAGCCATTGAGGGGTTAAACACGCTTTGTGATTGAGACTGAATAGTGTTTTCCCAACATTTCCCTTTTTACAATGGTGAAACAGGTAATTAAAT